CAAAAAAAAGTTACTCTAAGAAGGGATTTCCTTTTTCTTTTCAAATAGGGTCTTATGTGATTTAAGCTACTTTTCTGTACTCTACTTTTGACTTTTGAGTTTTGACCACTTGGCTATTGTTCTGCATCAGATCATCTTCATCTTCTCCACTAAGCAAACACTAGAATAAAAGATGGAGTTAATCAAGGAACGGATCTGCTCCATTCCCCGCCGTCGACACATGTCGTACCGGCCCCATGTCATTGCCACCATCGTTTTGAACAGGGCGATTAATGCGGATGAAGCGTCGACCCGACCGGTGAAACACTACATGACGCTATGCCTCCAGGTCGTGTACGCGCTGTGCGGATCCCTAGCATGATATGATACTTTGTGCAGATTAATTGTAGTAAATCACTCCCGTGCTTTACTTTGTGCAAACACACATGTCAGATACCCTCTTCAGCAAAGTTTGTGGTTGAACGAGCCATTCTGCATTCTCATGGTTGTTGATGCTGCCCGTCTATTTTTTTTCCTGTTTTGTGGTCCTCGAATTTGACTTTGAGAAGTTCTGCTCAATCTCTTTACCAAATTTGATTGTGTATGCATGCCTAGTTTGTGGGAAGTACTGCCAACGAAGAGGCTTTAAGTCATATGTAGATACCCATCGCAATGAGTCAGGCTGCCATCTGTTGATTAACCCTCAAGCTGAGAAAGTTGTCTATTGTCACCTTTGTTGACTGTGGTATTCAGTTTCACATTATTACTGATTGGTATGATGTGGCTGGTTTGCGATAAAGCCGGTCATAAATCTTCACAAGAACAAGCCTGTTGTTTTGAGTGTTAAACCATGAGGAGCACCGAGCACAACAGTTTAACTCTCTGTCTATGATTATGGTTTACTTGTTTCCGACCTGCGAAAAGAATTGTCTCCTGATCTCCTCGGTTTTGCATGTGACTGTTCCTACAACGATATTGATTTTCATAGTGGGTGAATGTGTTACATGTGTATCCCATCAAATTAACTGACATGTTTATGAAATGGTCTCTCCTCGTAGGTGTAGCTAAATAACCCCCATAAAGCATTCAGGCCTACTGTGTAGGCTATGCTTCTTTTGTGTGTGCTCCATTTATGATGTATTGAGAGTGCTCATTTGGCCAGTTAAAACCTTCTTTGCAAAGGAAACATTGTGATTTCCTACTAGGGAGCAGTAAAGTAGAGATAGGGTATGGGGTATAGGATACAGTGATATCGAAAACCATGGGTGCTTTTCCGTTGCTAGTGGTAGAATAGCATCAGACAGAATGTATATCTTCTTGTGCTGGGAGTTGCATTAGATAATGAGGATTCCAGTTATATATTTTTACCTTTGCTTAAGTTGGTACGTGTTGATTCAGAGCACTGACTTGCTTCATTGGGTCTTATAACCGTAGGTTTCAAGATGTCAACCAGCAGGTTTGCAACCTCCCTGCGCACGCTTCAGCAATGTTGGAGAACCGATGCCTCCTAGAAAGCGGCCAAGAGCCGCCCTTGGTCTCTAAGCATCTTCAGCCGAGGTGTGCTGCAGGTTCTGAGATGCCAGCAAAGGCAAAATAAGGAACAACTGTGACGGCAGTATCATGGTTTTTCCATGTGTCTTTGTAAAGCTGCCGTTTTCGCTGGGTCGTCCTGGCATCTTTGTGGTTTGCCTTGGTTGCTTTCTCTTCCTTGATGGCTATATACTCTTGAGGAAACTTGTGAGAAAACTGACATGTTGTGTGTGTGGCAAGAACCTCAACCTGTCAAATGGCTGGGGTTTACTAATGCTTCTGGCTTTGATAATAGTGATATGTATTTGTGGCTGATGTTGGGTCAGTAAATTAACATATAGTTTGGTTTGCAAAATTATAGTGGTGAAATCGACCTGAGGATGTTTATTTCCTCGCCCACATTTGTTACAGGGTCAGCAATGTCCCTGAGCTGGGGCTTACTAATGCTTCTGGCGAAGAGAAGGGTGCCCAGCATATTCAGACGAAGCCACAGGAATCATGCATTTCCTTTTTTAGGAAAGAAAAAACAGGTATCATGCATTCCAGATCAGGTTTTTAGCTCACTAAATGCACTTGACTTGTTTGCATGCTGCTGCGAATGAATTTCTATGAATCAAATTCTGGGTTGATGGAGCTGGTGTGTGTTTGCATTTGGTTTGCCATCCTTTTGTAATGCTTCTTGAGATACTTTCTATGAATGCCCAGTGTATATACTATCTTTGGCCTTTTAAGGATAGTTCTTTTTGGATACATCTTCTTGAGTGAGTTAAAAACATATCCCAACTTTATCAAAGGGCAACAAACTTTCTTATGATTGTAATAATTATTATGCCCATGAGAAATCAAAATAAGCATCTTTTAGCTCCAGTTTGTTCAGTTTATGTCTTCTGTATCAAGCATGGCCATTATATTTCATGAATCCACCAGGATAATGTTTTCTAGGCTATGCAGTACTCAGAAAACTGTATAGTATCTTTTCATCTAAATGAACAAGTGGTATTTTGTACCCAGTAGGTCAACTTGTCTTTTCATCTATATGAACATATCTTGTATCCAGTAGATCAACTACATAATATCTTTTCACTGTATTGTTTGAATAAATCCTCCAAAATGCATACACTGCACCAATGAATCTTGGTATTTTTTTAAATACTTTCAGTTGATTCAAAACGAAATAATTAAGATAAATGAGCTCTACTCCATACTTGAGAGAGTATGCGATTTCAGTTCGAATTCCAAGCCCTGTACCCCTTACTTCTAGAAATCTACTGCTATCTTAAATGTAGATGATGACAAAAACAATGGTTAGATGTGCTGAATGCTTGTAGGTAAGTTTGATATATGAGCGAATGGGTGGGGCAGCATTTGTTTGATTGATTCATGCTGCAGCAGGTTATATTAGAACCAGATTTGAATCCAAGAACACACTAATCGCAACTGCACAAGACTTGGTATCTAAGGAATCTGAAACCAAAAACTCTCTGACATCAACACTCCAATTCCAGCACAGGGATAACATGGTCAGAACAAGTCAGCATGTAATCCTTCAGAACAAGTGTCTAACCTCCGAAGCAGCAAGGCAGTACAATTGGACAGTAACTCACATTTCACTTTCCTCAAAAACAACTTGCATTTGCCATTCAGTTCCAAGTACTACCCAGTACTGTAAAAATCAAATCACAAACACAGAAATGCACCATCATTTCTAAATCATCACAGAATTCGGTTCTTCCGAGCCAACCGAAGTGTCAACGGGCATTCAGCAACAGAACTCCCATAAATTAACAGTGATGTAGCACTACTCACAGATAGTAACACGATGTAAGCAACCAAAATTCAGTTTCAGAAGAGTAGACAAGCAAACATCAGCCAGACCATCACTGACACAGGTATAGTACCACCACAACTTCAGTTCTAGATAGATATCAGCTTGTCAAAAGCAGAAGCTTCGGTCCTCCCAAGCAACGAGGAACGAGCCAACGAAGCGTTGGCAATCACCCAGCACAGACTACCAGCACTACTTGCAGAGGGATAAGCAGAGTTAACAGAGATGCAGATACAGAGACCAACTAGAGGCGACGGACGCATCATCAGTTCATCAGTCTAGGAGGAGGTGAACTTGGTGACGGCCTTGGTGCCCTCGGAGACGGCGTGCTTGGCGAGCTCGCCGGGGAGGACGAGGCGGACGGAGGTCTGGATCTCCCTGGACGTGATGGTGGGCTTCTTGTTGTACCTCGCGAGCTTGGCCGACTCCCCGGCGAGCTTCTCGAAGATGTCGTTGATGAAGGAGTTCATGATGGACATGGCCTTGGAGGAGATGCCGATGTCGGGGTGCACCTGCTTCAGCACCTTGAAGATGTAGATCTTGTACGTCTCCACGCCCTTCTTGGCCTTGCTGCCCTTCTTCCGGCCCCGGGTCTTCGCCTCGCCGCCGGCCTCCTTGGACGCCGTCTTGCCCGCCGGCAGCCGCTTCTCGGCCTTGGGCTTCTTGCCCGCCGGGGCCTTCTCCGCCGCCTTCTCGACCTTGCTCTCGGCGGCCGGCTTCTTGTCCGCCTTGGGGGCCATGGCTGCTGCTGCTGCTTCGGAGGTGGGAGAGGGGAGAGGTGTTTGGCTGGGAGGTGGGGAATTGGTGATGGGAACAGAGGCGGGGGTGGGGAGGGTATATAGCGGGGAGGAGGTGCGCGCTGATTGGTGGAGACGCCGGTGCCTCGGATCGATGACGTGGACGGGATGGTAGGCAACAGGAAACCAGCCGTGGCTGGCGGGAATTTCGGAATTTTTCCGCGGGGTGCTGCACCGTCCGGTTTGGGGGCGACTAAAATTGATTCACAGCGAGTTGTTACTGGGCTGAAGTTTTTTTTTTAATTAATAACCATGTATGTTTTTTTTTCATAAAGCAACAATGCTACTCCAAGGCTGGGTTTCCTGTTCAGTACAATTGATCCACGTTGATACAATAAGAGAGCACGAGATAATATAATTGTGCTGAAATTTTGCAGAAGATACTCCAAATAAATGAAAAATGGTGCTCAGCCTATTGGAGGCCCTTGTAGATGCCAACGAAACTGCTCACCACGAGAAACCCAGCAACGCCAAGGCATGCACCGGAGATCTATCGGATCCGGAATGCACCATCGCATATGGGCTTTCCGAGTCAGTGGACAAGGCCGGCATAAGCACCATAGCCCTCGTCTTTGTGACGAGTCGACAGGGGATTTTCCCATGCTTCCCATCCTCCGCATCAAACCAAACTAGTCTTTACCTGCTAGGTTGTGCGCCTTCTGCGAGCCATCCTCCGCATAAGCACCATATTTTTCCCGGCATGCTCCACTTATATCTTACAAAAAAGGTGTCTATTATTTTATTTTGCAAAAAAATTGTAAGCCAAAAGATGTAAATTGTTTTTGAAAACTCTTGGATTTTAAAACGGCTGCAAATTTAAAAACCTTATATTTTCAAAAGTATTCTAAATTTCTAAAAATATACATGGATTTAAAAAAATCACAAAATTTAAATAAAGCTCAAAATTTTAAAATTTCCCACGAAATTTAATAATTTTCATGAACTGTAAGAATATTCAAAAATTTGTAAATATTCATGAATCTCCAAATATGTTCTGGGATTTTTTTAAAATGTGCACAGTTTTTTACAATATTCGAATTTTTAATAAATCTTCATGAATTAAAATATATAAAAAGTAAATTAAAAATCGAGAAGAGAAGAAAAATAAAAAAAGGAAATAACAAAAACTAGGACAGACACCTTTAGTGGCGGGTAGCGGGCTCCAGGGACCTCCATAGCCCCCTACGGACTAGGAGGGTCCAAATCTAGGGAGCTTAGTATCTTAATTAATTTCATTAATTTTATTTACCTCGTATAAGAAAATAGAAAGAAAGGAACGAATATTTTATGAGTAGTTCAATGACTTAGATATAACTCGTTAGGAAGCAAAGTCTCCCACAAGAAAACTTCCCCTTCATTAAGTCGCAGAATTCAACCCTTGGTTAGCAACACCGAAACTAGAGCATGTCGAAGACAAGCACTAGAGCATGTCGAAGACAAGCAAGAACAATCACTCAGGACCCCAAACCGGCACGGTTGAACGAGCATACCAGGGCGCGTCGAGAGACTCAGATCAATCAACAAATTTGTTTTCCCACGGTGTCACTGGAATATAATCCCTTTTCATAAAACAAAACTGAATTTAGCAAAGGAGGACAGCAGGATTTTGAATTCATGTAGATCTCTGCCTAGCTTCTACGGTCATATGGTTGTAAGTTGGCCAAATATTACACACTTAATACCATATGCTACCTTTTTTTTTTTTGCAGGTAGTATATGCTACTCCCTCCGTTCACTTTTGTAAGTCGTTTCAGACAACTCAAAATAGGCTGTTTTGCACATTGTCTTATAAAAGTAAACAGAGGGAGTAGCTATTTTATCCATCAGGTTTGGCCAAAGAATAACTTAGACCGACTATGTTGTTCCCGCCAACGCCTCCGGCTATGTTGTTCGCCAAAGAATAACTTTCGACAATAGGATTTGACACTTGAGCCGTGACCCTGAAGTCCGCGGTGATCGGCCCTCGTCACTCTCTAGTTATAACTGAAATTGGAGAGGAGTTGGACAGTCTGATGGAACTCATATAATGCTAATCCTAGCAGCCTGATGGATAATAGTGATGTTTAACTGAAGGTGTGCAAGGGGAGCAACTTCGCTGAGGGTTTGTCATGGGGGTGCTGCAAGGGGTGTTGGCATGTTCCTTGACTCACTCGAATCATCTCAGCCGTTGCCTAACTGAAGGTGTGCTGCTACAGCTAACTGAAGATGAAGACAGATTCACAGTTCCTGCCACTATCATTTGAGAAATAAAGTCTTGTTGCTGTAAAAAAAAATCTGTAATTGTACTCCATATCGAAAGTTCTAGCTCAACAAACAAGCAGAGAGAGAAATGATAATTCAAGTAACGATCTCCTCGATGAGGCAGCGGCGTCTCTTGCCGCCGATCTCGACGAGCATGGCCAGCAGGGCCTCGCACACCTGGGTGGCGTCGGCCTCGGCCCGGCGCCTGCTCCGTGTCGAGAACACCAGCCACGCGTGGTCCAGCCTCCGCTCGGGCCGCACCACCACGGACCCCGGCACCTCAGCGTCGCGCCGCGTCACTAGGCCGTCGCTGCTCTCCCCGTACCGCAGCCGCAGGTGGAGCGCGGTGACCGCCATCGCGGCCGACACCGGCATCACCACGGGCAGCTTCAGAGAAGCGAGCAATGACTCTGCATACTCGGACAGGAAGCGTGGCAGGGGTGCCACCGCGAGCAGCGGGAGGAGCTCGGCCTGGGCGATGCGGGTCAGCGTCGCGAGCACCGTCGGGGCAGTGCTGGCCTCCGTGTGGAAGGAGATGATCGGCAGCTCGTCCACCGGGAGCCTGTGCCTGGAAATGAAGTCCTTTCTCTTGTCGTACGTGAGATCCTCCAGAGCTCTCATGTCGCCCTGCGTTCGTCCACTTGTTAGGAAATATGCATGATATGAAATGTAATGAAATGAAGGGAACACAGACAGACCTTGATAAGTTTGCACACTATCAGTTCCATGATCCTCCTCGTCTCCCTGTCAGCGATCTGGCCTTCTCGAAGGATGTCGGAAGCCACTGGGGTGCCTCCATACGGGCTCTGAACCAGTGCCAGACCGGCAACCTTGCCCTTGAGCTCGGACCAGTACAACGAGAGTGCGGCAGCCGCATCGACTCCGCCCTTGCTATGTCCGAGGAGCAAAACCTGTTTGCCAGATCCCCAGTAGAGCTCCTCGATGTATAGTTTCAGTTCCCGTGCATTTTTCTCCACTGATGCCTGAACAAAATGGAAGGTAAGTGCAGACCTACAGGGGGTGACAGAACGAAACACAAACTTGTAAAGTATACACTGCAGAAAATACGAGGAAGATATGAGAATCAAAGAGACGGACATTCCTTGGTTTACGGCACATGCACAACACGAAACAAATATAGGTCGACAAACTAGAAAGATCTTGTATGCCACCCTGTTGAGCTGAATTACCTCACTATGAATCTTTGCAATATGGCAAGTAAGCCCCATCCTTGAAAAGAATCTTTTAGTGTTGAGAAAGTAAAGTGGACTGTGGTTGCTAAAAAGGCCTGCATAGAGGAACGCTGCGAGTCACCATCAAGCTACGACGACATAATAAGGTTATCTGTGAAAACTGAGAAAGATGTCTCACCAGGGATGAGCAAGTAAACCAGTGTATCAGGCAGGTAATGCATGCCATTTCTGAAAAAACACAACGCAATGCAAAAGAATAACTGAATAATACTCCTACTAAACACTATGCCATTTCCTTATTAACTGACACTTCACTAGGCAGGGAAAACAGTTCACCTGACATCATGCAAAAGCTCCTGAAAGCGAGATGTGCCATCAACTGAATAAAGCGACATTTGAGTTCTTTGCAACCACCCTATATCTTCAGAAGAGCCTTGTAATGTTGTCCAGAAACGGTGCAAGGACCTGTGAGCATGCACCAGATCTTAGCAACCATCTGCAAACAGAAGTTTCACTGAATGGACTTGAGCACTTGGATCAACACAAAGAAGTTGGAAGTCAGGAAAAGGTAACCAACCTGGTTAGTTTGGTATTAATCTCATTTACAAAGAGACTGCACAGCCCTCGCAAATGGAGTGCCAATCTTTCCCCCAATCTATAGCCACGCAAAATATAGGATGACCAGCTAGCATATGATCTGATAGCACAAAATTGCAAAGTGGACGTGAGAAACAGCATTGATCAAAACACATGGTTAGCTAGTGTGATAAGAAATATTATTATATGCAAGCATTAACTTTAACTTATTAAAGAAGGCACAGGAATACTAAACCTTTGACAAATTTCGGATACGCCATTTCTGAAAATTGTGATCTCAGATATCCTATGTGCAGCCTGTTCTTCTGTAGTACTACTAATGGATAACTCTTCTGTGGTATTGCTAATGGACAACGCAGAACTCTGTCCATGAACATATCTTCCAGTGTCAGGCAATGATCCTCCATAGTAAGCAGAGAATTGGACTTCATGCCGTTGAGGAATCCAATCAATGCACCCAAACACATTTTCTATGAAGAAAAAAAAATACCAGCACATAAAAATAAAGGAAAACAACTCAACAGAAACAACACTGTACAGAAAACTCCCATCTTGATCAGATTTCTTCTAGAGTGGATGAAACACATTCTTGCTAGTATCTAGTACCTAAGTATCTAAGAAACAAAGTCATATGCCAGAATAAGTTTGCTCTAGAGAAGGTTAACTGACAAAACGGTGATTCAGAATCAACAAATAAACAAGACAGCAATGTGTACTGTACTATCAGCAAGTCTGTTTCCCTGATGATTTAAATCGATCAAAACATTGTAGGCTGAGCTTGGTACCTATGAATTGTGTCAAGTGTTGTCGTAACTGCCAAGCAAGGTTTAGGATGCGCTCAAAATAGTCCTCCATTTGAGTTCCAGATAGCGAATAATGGCGAGCATATCACTCTTGCTGATTCTCTTTCGC